TTATCCTCGATAACGACAACGCTGTCTTCCACTATTGTGATGTCAACAGCATCGAGTACTACATTAACATCTACAACCACTGCGCCGACTACTGCATCTACAGGCAGAACCACATCTGCGATATCAACGTCAACGTACCCAACGACAGGTACCTCTAGATACATTCATTCAGATAGATACAGTCCTCATCATTGCGGACCGGTGGGGCGTGTCAGTGCGGCTGCGTTTGGCGCGGTGCCAAAGTCGTTCTGCACCAGTTGTTGAAGCGGGCAAGTGACATTACTGTATTATATCCTTCGTATTACTCGTTTTCTACCACTTTTTGTCGCATACGCGTTTCAACAAAAGGCTGAGAACGGCTTCAACAGTGTGCACACTCATACTGGCTGACACGCCCCACCGGTCCGCAATGATGAGGACTGTATATACCATTTTCACTTTAAATTCACCACTTTTCAAACCAAATTCACCACTTTTCAAAGCAAATTCACCACTTTTCAAACCAAATTCACCACTTTTCAAACCAAATTCACCACTTTTCAAACCAAATTCACCACTCTCATTCACCCTGCCTCCTACAACTACGAGAATGCCACGTTCAGCGCCTTCGTCCGTAACCTCGCTCTCAACAACGCCGTTGCCCACAAACACTACAACGACACCTTCGAACACCGCACCAACAAGCACCACAACCCTGCCTTCTACAACTGCCACAACGCCAAGTTCAGCTCCTTCTTCGGTGACCACGGTCCCAACAACAACGCCATTGTCAACAACCACCATAACTGCATCCACGAGCACCGCATCAACAAGTACCACAACGTTGCCTTCTACAACTACGACAATGCCAAGTTCAGTGCCATCTTCGGTGACTACGGTCTCAACAACATCGTTGCCCACGACTACTGCAGCGACTTCCACGAGCACTGCCCCAACAAGCACCACAATGTTGCCTTCTACAACTGCGACAATTCCAAGTTCAGCTCCTTCTTCGGTGACCACGGTCCCAACAACAACGCCATTGTCAACAACCACCATAACTGCATCCACGAGCACCGCATCAGCAAGCACCACCACACTGTCCGAATTCGACTAACACAATGTTAAGCTCGATAACGACAACGCTGTCTTCCACTATTGTGATGTCAACAGCATCGAGTACTACATTAACATCTACAACCACTGCGCCGACTACTGCACCTACAAGCAGAACCACATCTGCGATATCAACGTCAACGTACCCAACCACAGGTACCTTCAGATACATACATTCAGATATTTATACCATTTTCTCATATATACCATTTTCACTTTGAATTCACCACTTTTCAAACCAAATTCACCACTTTTCAAACCAAATTCACCACTTTTCAAATCAAATTCACCACTCTTTTTAGACCGGGCAGTTCACCAACCAGATCACGCCAGACACCACTGCGAGCCCCGCCCCGACGGCCACGCCTACTTGTCAGCGCGGACATAGATTTTCAACACATCGACACATGGCCGACTCCGCCCATTCTTTGAAGGGTTTGTTGCGAACTTCGAAATTTCATAACTTTTTCAACTTTTTGATTTCACATCCACTTTCCACTTTTTTGCGAATTTTTGATATTTTTTTTCAAAATTTTTGCATTTTTGGACTGCTCCGTGAAGCCCTGCCCACTGCGAGAATCTCCGCCCTCTTTTCAAAAATGGTGTGACTCGGCAGTATAGTGTCCTGGTTCGCATGCCAGGGTCTCGTCCGTCACTCGGAATAATAAATGAATGACCAGCAATACCCTAGCCATGTAAGCCGAGACTCTATACTGCCTATTTGCACCACTTCTGAGAAGCGGGCGGGGCTCCTTCGAAGTAGGCGGCCCTTCTCGCAGTGGGCGGGCTCCATGGAGCAGTACAAAAAATGCTAAAATTTTGGAAAAAACATCAAAATTCCGCAAAAAGCAAGTGTGGCCAAGGGTGGAGCCTAAGTTGCCAGTGCATAAATGCGCGGGTACGAGTGTCTTCGTTGTGCAAAGAGTGGATGTGAAATTAAAAAGTTGAAAAAGTTATGAAATTTCGAAGTTCGCAATAAGTCCTTTGAAGGATGGGCGAAGCATGTGCCGATATCTTGGAAATCTATGTCCGCGCTGACAGGTAAGCGTGGCAGTCGGAGCGGAGCTCGCCTGGTGTCAGGCGATGATCTGGTTGGTGATCTAAGAGAGTGGAGAATTTGGTTTAAAGACACATGGTACGATCACACATAGTTTGAGTGTTTGTGACTATCAGCCCCAGTTGTCGAAGCGTAGCGGATTCCCCGTCTTAGCATTCGCAGGAATGGAGATACGGGACCGTGAAATACGCTTATTCCTCCATGCTCCCCTGAAATGCAACGTGCGGCGCAGACTCCCGTCCATGCTAGCAGCCGTTCGCGCCTGTCGCACGCAGCTCTCTTAGCTTTTTGCCAAGTGCTGTGCGCTTTGAAAATTACCAAGTAAAACGCAATGTACTGGAGGCGGTAAGACATTCAGGTTGCGTGCAGATAAGAGAGCCGAAGGACGATGATGAGGGCGGCAGAACTGCAGAAGCACTGCGCTGCTTCTGCAATATCCATAAGAGGCGCACATTTCCACTAAATATGAAAAGACAGCCTAACCGTCCCACTCGTTAGTTTAAAGTATTTCTATGGCTTTGGAGCCGGAGATCGCAGAAATTTACTCGCAATTTTAATTAATTCACGTTGTTCTTGAATTTTCATCTTTGTTTTCTTTACATCTACATTCGTTGTTCTTTATTTCTAGCCTTTGTCATCTTCATCACCCTCTATTCGGACTTCGAAACATGAGCAACACCTCAAATGTTATTCGCATCAGGAAATTGCGTTTTACTTGTATTCCAAATGGCAATTACTGGAATTGGCAAAATGCCAGGAGAGCTGGCTCGCAATACGCGCGCGGCGCCGAACGGCTGTTCAGCCATTAGACGGAGAGTGAGCGTGTAGGGACTAGGCATGTTTCTTGGTCGCTGTGTCTCGTTATTCCTGCTCTATGTTAGGACGGGCAACAGCCTAGCGCTTCGACAGCTCAGGGAGTGATTAGTCCCCAAGACTATGGTCGTGATGACGCGTAGTATCATTTACAAGTGTGAAATTTTAGAGTTTAGAAAGCGTGTGAGCTTCGAGATTGTGTGAAAGCTAGGACATGCAGTGAAAACGGGTATGTACGCAGTGTCGATGTTTCCGCGAGAGGTTTGCCTCTCTGGGCTGGTTCTTTGCAGGCAAGATTTGTCACGAGGCTGTTTCATGGCAAGCAGTGAATAATCGGCTCTCAATGTGCAGTGAAACCTACAAGAAGTTTCTCTGACCTGTTCGTTGGGGGGTGACGTTGTGTCCTTTCGATTGCAAATTCAAGTGGAGTTGAGGGTAAATTAAACAGATATCGAACGTTATTCTGCTTTCTTTCATATGCGTGCCTCACATACGTAGTACTTATTTATTTATTTCATAGAGTCATACAGTGAGTGTAGGCAAAGCCTTACACTCACTGATGAGTGTATCTGATGTCGTGAAAGCCTAACTGGGGAGCGTGTCAGTCGAGGCGGGACATTTTGTAATGAGATGTAGCTCACTAGACGTGGTTTTGAACGCTGATCTCGAATCTGCCTTCAAAATTTGCAAAGCGATCCTCTGAACGGAGTTATGGAGTTTCGGTCCACCGCCATGGTCCGTTGCTGAGACTTGACTCTTTGTCACTACTGCTTGCAGTGCTCACCAAACATTGCCTAGAAATAAGCTTGCACCCACTTAGTTACTGCGCTTCGCGCTCCTTGAGCTCGGTATGCAGGAAAGGTTGGGCGTACAGCGTGTTCCGTCGTTGCGCGATATAGGCCGTCTTCGCATTCACGAGTGTTATTATTCGTGTTTCAGCGGCTTCAATAATATTTACTGATACACATGTTTCTAGCCTAAATCTGGCATTTCGATACTTGGACTTCCATTAAAAAACAACCATCCACTGGTTTTAGTTCAATTGATGTTCCGCCGTATCTCAGTGCAGATACCTGGTTGCTCTTGATCTTGCCTGCCACAAAGCGCTCGCCTTGCCACTATTCAAGGATTCATATTGTTACCTGCTCCAGTGTTCCTGAATCTAAGGAAATTCTTCAAAGACAAGCAATCGGGAAGAGACTGGCCCTGGGATCATTGGTGACCATCATTCGATCAACTGCTACCGCACTTTTCAAAGTTAGGAAGCCTCACATCTGGCTGGAAATGTTCCAAGGCGGTCTTGCTACTGAACCCGCGGTTATGGCCGCCGCTTTGGCGTTTGGTGTTTAGATTGACAATTCCCCACAAAATGCAAAGAAGTTACTTTCCCAAAATTCGAACCACTTTATTGGCTGCCGACAAGCGAGGACCATTGACCATACAGCCGCTGAGCGGAAGGGTGCTTCCGTCCATTCATGCACACTGGCTGGCAACCGCGCTCGACTCCGTTTTCCTTCATTTTATTTCTAACAAACCTTATAAATCCTTTCAGAGAATCGCTCTGCAAATTTCGAAGAAATGTCGAGATCAGCGTCCAAAACCACGTCTAGGCGGGGGTTTTTATTTCTACGGGGTTTAACAAAACAGGAGTATTTGCGGAAACCTCGTATGGGAAACTACGGTGATTCAACGAGTGGAATGCTGCATCAGAGCAACTGCATCGTCTGTGAGCTGAGGCAGCGCTAGAGCTCATCTTTATTCGCGAAGTGAACTGGCTTATATTGCATGCATTGTATCCTAACGGCTATCTATCTATCTAAGGGAAAGCCGATTGACGGAATGGGCGCAGTCATTAGAAGTCGAAAGGTGGGTCAGGTAAGGACCTGCCGCGGCACCAAACTTTTTAATAGCTGTGTAGGAATACACTAAATGTGAGGAGGTACACTCCTTATCCTGAACCAGAGTCGGGGTGGCATTTGAACATGGGCACCGAACTGGTTGATCGCTGAAGTACCAGTTGGGCAACTGCCGTCTTGTCTCTGCGAAAGACACGACAACAATGGTGTCAAGATGAAAACCTCATCAGAAGCATAGACACCTTCAGGTTAAGTTGAAACATGCGGCCACGCCTACCCGATCTCAGGGATTTCGAGTATAATTGGTAGTGAGCAACCAACATGCGTGCCACAAGTGGCGCACCGTCAACTTACGAATGCAGCACCCTTGTCACTCAGTGTGGAGCTGCGAAAGTATGACAGCCTATAATATTGTTATAAGTACTTGCGTGAGAAGCCTAACGACTCTTATCAAGGCAGAGCCAGCTTTTATATCTGCGCTGTCGGTTGTCGCTCTTGTGGTTAGATTTAAACAGAATGAAACGTGGATGCATGCTCTGCTGCGGCCTCAAACTTTTTAAAAAACAAAAGGGAGTAGAAAAGCAATAGATTAGGAACGGAACACTTGGTTTTCCCTCCAGACAGGCCTGCAATATTGATATCTCCGAGCTGCTTCCATCTGATTCTGAACTGTGTCTAAGATTCCAAACCCCCCCCCCTCATCAACTTCCACTCCACTGCTGACTGATGCCAGGTCCAGAAGCAGAACAACGATGCTTCTGGACTGGCATCATGTAATTTTCATGTAAATCTTCACCTAGTTCACCTGGGTCCTAGTTGAAAGCTAATTAGTAAGGGAGTAACGCTTTTGCCGAGCTAGGAAGTCGCCAAGACATAGTAACACCCCTAGACCGTGTTATACTAATGTATGTAGAGTTTTGAATCTCCTTCCAAACGCTAACCTAAAATTCGGGATTTTTTCAATGCTAATATTCTCTAACATTCAGACGCAGAAGTGTCAGGAAAATCTATGTACTGTTAAGTGGGGACTGTTCTGGTAGTATTCAGTACCCGTACACGAAACAATGTAGAACTTTATAAATAGTGGAGATTGTAACAACATGTTCGTCTTAATGTTGTCACTACAGTGAAATTGCGCCCCTTGTTCTATGCAAGTGCACGCCCGGAATGAACCGCCTATTTTACGACTTTTTGCTACGGTAACCAGTCACACATTGCAAAGGTGACGAATGATGAACGAGATAGCTGCGATTCTATGGAAACTCCCCCCCCCCTTCAATTATGTTACATGGATATAGAGAGCACGGGCGGTGTGTCACAGGGCAATTTCTTGTATGTCCTGTAGCGCTTTCTGAGGTATTACGCATCAAATGCGGACCAATCAAGCCTTCTACTCTCTCCGAGACGACCAAATGGTTCTAGATTCGGCTGGGAAGATAAGAGTGTTTGAGACCGAGGTCATTGCATGAAGGCCAAATACTTCCAGTGCAGCGCATTTCAATTCTGAACGGAGTGTAACTCGCGTGCTGAATCCAAAACGGTCGTACATTCATAGTGGCACAACAATTGTCTTTGTTTTAGCATTCGCTCAATAGATTTTGCATTGCTAGAAGATAATATATATATATTCCAACCAGGAAAGGCGACAGGGCAGCTCGGCCATTTCGATGAGCCTGCGGCGGGTGAACTCGATCTCTCAGAATTTTGCGGAACGATTCTCTGAACGGGTTATGGAGGGGTTTCATCCCCGCGTGGTTGTGTTACACGCTATCGCGAGGGAAAGTAGAAGCGTTCTACATTTATGAAGAGAGCCATTGTAAAACATGGAAGTAGGACGCAACAGGTAGCGTTCTGGTTGTCCAAGTCAGAAGTCGTGGGATCGGTTCTCGTGAGCCCACCCCTTTTTAAATTGTTCAAGAACCCGACGGAGCTTCCAACATTCTGCTCGACTGAGCTAGCCTGTAAGGGAACCTAATATAGTTTTTTGTTTGGAAAGAGTGGACTCATTTTGGCCTGAAAAAGTGCTTGTGCTCGCCTCTCTCTAACCATTTCAGGAAGAATGCGCATTAATACTTGTGATGTTTGTGCATCAGCGGGTTCAAAGTCTCCCTGGAGACAGGTTTTTTAGCTGAATCTGTATATTTTTGAACCTGACTTGGACACTGTAGGCTACTTTGCCTTTCCATGGGGTAATCGACAGGGACGTGGAGTTCACCTGCAGTCGATTTACTGGTCTCGGATAGAATTCCCTCCCGGTAATAAGGAAATCGATGCACGGCACGAATGAGTGAACCAGGTATTGCTCTTCGCGAAGAGACATCAGTGAAGAGTTGTTTCAGTTCGAAGACCAGTCATCACCATTATGCTAGTCGTAGTACCGCTGTTTGCTATCAGTCAGCCATGACTATCCATACGTTTTTTCGAAGTTGAGTCAGAAGCTCAGATTTAACGAGGTGACTTCTCAAGGGGTTATTTGAGCCCTGAGTAGGCCGCGTACAGTTGCCAACGTCACTGCGACAACGCGTCTTGAAGAAGGAGAACAGTGGAGAAAAACCTCCATAACTCCGCTCTGAGAATCGTTCTGCAATTTTAAAAGGTGTTTTAGTTCAGCGGGTCAGATGAGCACAATGATGTGCATCACACTGCAAATGGCCGGGCTGACCTGTTAACCTTTCCTGGTAAGGCAAGTGTGTTCGCGTCTTCGGTGTTTATATGGCTCTTGAACTTCCGTGCTTCTTTTGACGCTTTCGCATCACTGGTCTCTGGCTTCAGTTTATTGAAGGCCTTAGGAACCACAAAGCCCGCAGAAAACTTGTAGCGCCAGGGCCTATTCAGATTTCCTGATCTAGATCTCATTCACTCCTGGCGCTGGCGCTAATGGAGGACACCGCGACTATCTGCGCTCTGCCTGACCCACAAGATAATCGTAGTGCCCTCCATGAGCGCCAGCGTTCAGACACTGAATGCCATATTGAATTCTCGGTAGGCTGATCACTTCTTAACTATCTAGCAGCTGAAATTGAGCTCGAGTAATTTGCGCAGTCGGAAACAAATTCCACCCATTTTCAGACCACACCTATTCAATGCTCCAGGCTTTCTGGGCAAAACATCCAAATATCACTATTAATCTACTGGAAAATCTAATTTGATGTGTAGACTTTTTATATGCTCTAATGTACTAAGTTCTTCAAGGAAACAAGCTTCATCGCTAGTGTCAGTCAAAGCCTCTTCGATTCAAGTAATCTGCTCAAGGCAGGATTATCGGTGTATCGGATTACGTTGACGAACTATTCCCCAATGTTGGACTAAATGATATGGACAGTACTTTTGCAAAATCGACAATTCATTGAGCCAGAATGCATATGAGGGGGGGGGGTGGCGGGATGATGAGTATTGGCATCAACAACTGAAAGAGTAAGTCCCAAAGATTTCACTAGCTGCCCATTTTCGCTGTCATTTTCTGTTCCTGCTCGCACTCTTGCATTGCCTTGCGTCATGTTATATCTATCAGATGTGCACCTACCTTCGCGCAGCTAGTCTATATCAAGGGTCACAGATCAGAGTCTCTATAATGTTGAAGTTCATGTAGCGCAGAAAATTTGATAGGTGATCTGTGAGCTTACTATTTTTTGGCACTTTTACCCTTCACTTGCGCCCGAAATTAGGCCAGTTCTCTGACGACTTTTTTCTGACTCTGGAGCATATATTTGCCTGCAAATCATTGTCTCACTTGGGGTAATTTGACCTCTAGAATGACTAATATCACATTCGTCAGCCCCAAACTTCTGGCGCCGCGCCCACAGCGCCAATGATCTTCGTGGTATTTTCGGCGCCGATACAGGTGGTGCGGGCGCATAGGAGGTTCGGGTTGAGCGTTGTGTAGCTCGTGTTCAGGGGGTCAAAACTACCCCTGAGAGCAAGTTTTCAGCGAATTTGGTGATTTCGAGTATTTTGGCGCCGGCGCCCGTGGCGCGGGCGCCAGGAGGTTTCGGGTCAAGCGGATGCGATATTCGTGTTCAGACGAGTCGAAATATCCCTGAGAGCCAGTTTCTTTCAAACAAATTCTGGCCCACGGCAAGAAAAGTCGGTCAGGAACCTGTCCTTCGGATGGCTACGAGTGATAAGTGGATCTGTAAGATTACTATTTTTGTATATGGTTACCAGCTTGTCTGATTTGCAATATTGCGCGCCCTATGTGGTGAACGTTTTAGCACATATGCAAGGAGATGAACACCAAGGACATATCTGTACTGAACTATATCTGAACAAACACTTTGCTTGACTTCCGTTTTCTGGATATTTTCTCTCACTAACGGCCCTCATTAGTGGTCGTTTGCCGATGTGCAGTGGTTATGACGCTTACAAAAATCTATATTTATTGAAAATCCATAAAGCTAGCGGTTAAAGGCACGTTCCGCGATAAACTAAGGCTAGAACCTCATAAACGTGCATGATGATCAAGCAGGCAACAGTAGAGGATATGCTGCTTTTAAAAGTTGAAAAACAGCAAGCAGAACGCACGGCGCTCATGTTTTAGGCCCATTGGCGCCCGATAGGCCCATGCCGGCCTCCGGTGACCGTGTCGTTGTGACATTGCCATTGCGCTCTCTCGCCCGTCATTTTCTGGCCTCTCTCGTCTCTTATCAGTGTCTCGCCGCCTTTTGCAATCCACAATCGATCTTAAATCGTCCGGTGATCATGACCAGTTGAAATAAAGAGGGTCTTTTCGTGGTTCCTTCTCTTCAATAAGTCAACAATCACAGGGCAATTCTATTTTTGAACTGTATTACCTATGAAGTGTGGTCGCGGGAATTGCCTTTAAGAACGTTCCAGGGACCGCCATGAAAATAAAAGCATGCTTCTCGTAGCTATGGTGAAGCGACATGTTTGTTTGTTATTGGCCCCGATCACACCTTCAAGAAAATCACTAGGCTGCTACTAATTGTCGGGGCGTGAGAAGTGTGATGTGATCTAATTCTACTGCAGCAGAAAAAGGCACAAAGCATGCTTACGCTCACTGGATCCCTGACACTCAAACCGCAGTGGTCGCAGTTGAATTGTAGAGTGTCAGTAAAGAGTTCTCAACTTGTTTTGTGCCTCACGAGCAGGGCACGCCATCGTTGTGATGATCACAACGAGGGGGTCGTATTTGACCGCGAGGGAGGGGGAGGGGTCGTATATTTCGATAGTTGATTTCTCTTGTTTCACGGACGCTATAGGGGGGAGGGAGGGAGAGGGACTGCCAAAGATCTATAGAACTACTATATCCGACAGTTGAAAATGAGGGTTCAAATCCTGGCGACCTCACCCCTTTCCCGCTCGACGGAAAATTCTTGGCTGAAAAACTGGAAATTTCTCGGGAAAAATGGAAAAAGTGGTAGGAAGTTGGGAAAATCTAGGAAAGTGGTAGGTAGCATGGGGAGGGGGGGGGGGTCGTATTTGAGGATGGAATTAGGGGGGGGGTCGTATTTTTCAGGAAATGATCACAACGCATGGCGTGCCCTGCTTACGAGGTTGATAGGTGGAACTATTTATTCAATATGGCCTAACGTTTCGACTGAATCGTCGTCATCAGAGGCCGACGGTTCCACCTTATTAGGGACAGTGTCCGCAGCCACACAAGAGCGACAGTTAGTTATTTACAACTACTCTCGCCTCTGTGTGGGCCAGCGGACACGTGCTTCCCTAACATTAAGGAGACACCGTCGGGCCTCTTGATGACCGAGACGACGATTCAGTCGAAACGTTAGGCCATTTTGAATAAATAGTTCCACCTGTCCCCCTCGTGAGGCACAAAACAAGTTGAGAACTTACATCTAAAATGCCGAGGTTGCAAGAAGAGAGAAGCTGGCGAATTCAGTAAAGAGTGATTCTTACTTGCCCCTATCGATCACGTTGTGGATCACGCCCATCATCCGCTGTTCACATCCCATGGAATCGCGTTCCCGCTATTACTTCGTCACGATCTCGATTTCAGCTCTAATCAGTTGCTACCACATCATGTGACCCACTAACAATGTTTCTGTCCCTTTCCTACTCCCAGGGACCACATTTCGCCTTTGCTCCGTGGTGACACGTGTATGAGCGCTACAGCGACGTGCTCCTCGTTTGAGGTCCCTCATCATGTCTATTCAATTCCATCAAAAGTTTTCCCGTCACACCCCCTACATCGATTGGTTGGACCCTCAACAGCTGACTGATAAATAGAAAACTATGAACTCCCGGTCAAATACACGCATACATGCATAGCGAATTATACATCTCAGAACCTTGAAATATAGCTCGGTTCAAATATAATAATTTCTTTCCAAGGAATATTCAAAGAGTGCAGTTCCAAGATTAGGCTTCGATGTCAGGTTAGCGCTGGACGTCTGGCTAGGACAATACCAACCACTACTGACCCATGAGTGCCCAGTTCCCGAAACTATGTCTGGATCTAGAGTTCGGCGTGAAGTTGAGTGCTAGGGACATTGAAGGCGAAAATCACACCCAATGGGCGCGAAATTGCATGTGGACACCGCCGTGCCGGCATATGCAGACTTTGCCCTTTAGCAACGGCGCCAAAATATTCTACCGCACCAAATTAGTGAAAACTTGGCGTCTGGGCAAATTTGACCTCCTGAACATGAATATCACATCCGCTTGCGCCACGGGTGCTGGCGCCAAAAGTTTTCTATATATGAATTGTTGCCTGAAGCTCCTCCGCCTTAGTCGGATTGAGGAAGTTCAGGGCGCTTCAGTCTAAAATTCCCTTTCGGCACTCCACTCTGTATGCTCCAAACCCTCGGCCAGGCACGTTAAAAAGAAAATTCCCGTATCAAGAGCACTAGTACAATCATTTCAGTGCAATCAACATACTCAACAAGAATTCACGACTCACAGAAGTGAACTGCCTGATCTTCTTCTCCGCGCAGTAAGTTGCTGAGAATTCTGGCAATTAGTAATTCTGCAATGAAGGAAATGGGGATTTTCAGGCTAGACACAAATGGATTGCCAGAACTGACCCCAACTTTGGCCCCTGGTGAGACTACTATTGTGGCGGTCGGCTTTGACGGTAAATATTTGACAAACTTGCCCTCTTTTCCTTTCTAACAGTTCCGTTTAATAGCAACTTCATTTTAGCGACCGATCTAACGGGAATAGTTAAACAGAAAGGAATCGCCGTCAGTGTCCCTTATGCGTTCACAACAGAAGACGTTGATAGTGTCGTCAATGCTGTATTGCTTGATTACCAAGTTCCATAACGCAATTTTCTAACCACATTTCTTGTATTTATGTTTCCATCATTTTGCAGAAAATGATGCTTATATTTCATTGCGTTGATTGAACTCTTGGTACGCTCGGGTTTCTTTGGATCCTCGAATGTCATGCAGTCTTCTTTGTTCCCTGAATCTCTTATAACCGTTTTCATGCAATCTTTTTTGCTCCCTGAATCTCGTATAACTTTCTCATCATCCTTGAGAAACCTATGCAGCCAGCTCAACGTCAGTGGCACTTTTGCAATTTGCCCGTCAAAGGATATCGGGCTGTCCATGAGCACTAATCAGCTTTCTTTCTTTTTAAGATCCCTTCTCATGAAAACACAGCTAGTCCCGTAATTTCGAGGAAATATACTTGGCTCCCTTGAGGAGCATGGGCAGTATGCTAGCTCAATGCAAATTTCCGGTCTGTTAAAGATGTTTAAGCTCTCTTATAAGTTCTAACGTATATTTGCGTGAATTGTATTTATTTCATAATTTTTGTAAACTAAACCTGTAAAGGATCAAACCCCACTCCTTCGTGATTAGTCATACGAAATCGCACACGATCATACGAGTACCAGGTTGAAAGAAAAGTATGCACTATTTCGATTTGAACTATTTTGTGATATCCAATGTGTTTCAGTTTGGTTGTGGATTTTTTGTGACTTTTTACCTCCTTCAAGGACACATATTGCGCTGTATAAAATAAATAAATAAAAAACATTGGCACGTGTTGCTGATCAAAAAAAAGCGTTGTGTGAATAGTAAGTTGGAAAGGAATTCCTTCATCATTTAGAGCTCGTGAACCTGGAACTGTCATCTCTAAGAAGATGGTTCCTCGAATTATTTGATGGTAAACCGACTTTCCAATGACTTCTGTCAGATGACTTGAACCTACATCTTTGAAAAAGAATACATTGAAAGCAGGGCAGACAAGCCTCAAGATATCATACTCGGAGAATCAAGTACGCTAAAGTTGGCTTGGTCACAACTTCTGGCAACGATTACTCGTTTTGTGAACGTTCCTTTCAAAATCCTGCCTCTCTCTCGTCTTCCATCCGAAAAAGCCAGGGCTTTCAAGTTGTACCAAATAAGTAAATATAAATAATGAATACAATATTTCAGTCCACAGATCGAAAGAAACGTAATAGTAGCATCCCCTGCAGAATTATATATTCCAGGGGTGGCCAAAAAAAAGTCACTTTGCTTCATTGATTTTCGAGGCGCTATAAGTTACACTTTATAAACTCTGATCGGACATTTCTACCACCATATTAAAGAGCATATTAAATACTATTATGACACTCCGCCACAGCCTTCTGGAGGAGCGCCATCGAGAGATTCTGGCACGCAACCGCGATGTGGTCCCTGAGATCAGCGAGATAGTCGATTTCTCCGCCACCGTAGACCACCCTATTGAACTCCGCTCGAACCGGGTAATTGAGGGGATTCAGGTCAGGTGACCTACTTAGATATTCCATCTTCTTTAGGTACTCAGCCCCCTTCCATTCCAGGTAGGCGAGAGTTTCTCCAACGCCCTTCGATTCCACGTGGTGGCACCCAATGCTGTAGCAGTACAACGTTTCCAAGAAGGTACGGGCGACGACATGAAGAGTGAATGGAGGCAGCCGGCTTCTGCCTATAGGGAAAGA